CGATGTGATGCTGCAATCTGTATACAGGGTAAAAATGGAAGTTCATAACCCACTTGAATCAAAATGTGAAATATGATATGTCAAGAGCTATGTAATGTTTTGAACAACCAACAATAAAAATTAAAAAAAAAAGCTTCAGAGGAGGTTTTGCAATGTATTAAATAAAGATACTCGTATGAAGGCATTGTATATCCCAATTTCTGATTTCCTATTTATAATTTGTGTCTGTTCAATTTGTTTCCAGTCTACCTTCATACATGAGCTCCCACTACACCTCTCCATGAACCTTTCATGACACTCAAAGCGATGTACCTACTCATGATGAGAACAGCATGAATTTGTGGCATTTGAGCCATGTCACACTCCATTACACCTTCCTAAACAGCTTTCTTGAGAATATTTTCCTACCTCTATATCTTTATTCATGGTACTCATGCACTGTGCCTTTATTAGTACACTATAGTTATACATAATAGTTGAGTTCATTTTGACAAAATCATACATGCATGGGATTTTATTTACTCAATTTCAGTCTCCAGTGTCCTCATTATCCTCTACTCTTTCCCCTATTTTTCTTCCTCTACACTACTGGTCTTCCTTTCATTCTCCTATATATTTATTTCTGATAGATACATATACATAAAGGTATTCACTATTGTATGTTTATACATACACATAGCATAATTTTATTAAAATCATTCTGCATTTCCTCCATGTCAGTAACTATAAGCCTAAATCCTTCTAACACTTCTCAATTTAATTCAATTTCTTTATCCAACAAAAAAACCATCCATGGACATCTTTTTTTCTTATTAAGTTACCTCTTTGCTCTGACCTTTTAAAGATTTAATGCATAGGAATACTCATGATGTATAGGATGTACTACCTTGCTAAATTGCACCTTTGCCTTTTTTTTCTTCTATTTTTTGAAATGTGTTTATATCTTGTACCCAATTAAGCTATTGAAGGACATGTTTTGTTTTGTTTTGTTTTGTTTTTTAATTGCTTAGGACCTCACTAATTTTCTTGGGCTGGCTTTGAACTTGTGATCCTCTGGCCTCAGCCTCCCAAGTTGCTGGGAATATAGTATGTGCAACCATGCTCGATTTCCAATGTCTTCTTTATGAGTATCATCATTAAGTACGTAACATAAATATATGATATATCTAGTAACTATTGAGTAAATCTTCTCCATGGTGAGTCCTGAAATATGATTCTATTTATATTGACACTATAATTATTGTGCTCATTAATATGAGCAAATTGGATTATTGGATTACTTAGAACAAATAGTAGTTACCTATCTAGCATTACAGCAATGACAAAACATGCCTAAGAAGTAGAGTATGAGAGCTCTTAATCATACCCTTTATTCTTACTAGAATTCTTTTTATTTTTCCATATCATATTTTAAGAATCATAATGTAATAAAAGTAGTGATAGATATGAATTGACCATGTTTGAACATTTTTAATTTACCTTAAATCTAAATCAATTTATTGCCATTAATTTGAATTGCAGATTGATGGAAGAGAATATCTAGAAAAATATTGAAAATCCAGGGACTAATTTTATAATAAACTTTTTAGTGTTTCATATTAAATTAACAATGATAAACATATTGTCAACAGTCATGATGAAGTGATATCTAAAGAGAAGCTATGACATATCCCTATCATAATCCAAAAAGTGACAAAGCCAGGATGAGAATCACTTTCGCTAGTGTGTAAATTTATTTCAGCAGGTAGGTAAAATTCCAGTCAGTTCTTAAAAAAATATGATTCCTAAATAATTAATCATAGATTAAGTAAATACTATAAAATTTAAACATTTTGTGGCCTTATTGATTTAATTTTACTATAGCAAAGCAAAAGTAGCCACCAAAGTCCACTATCTTATCTTGAAAAAAATATGGATGATTTTCAGTATGATTCTAAGGCAATATGATCTTATTCATATGGCTACAAAATAGCCAGTTATTACTAGGAAGTACAGCTCTGTGGTAAAGTGCTTGCCTAGCATGTGCAATGTTCTGGGTATACTGCCAAACACTGAGGGGGAAAAAAGCCAGTTGACTTCTAGGTCAAGCACATGAAAAGATAAAGTGTTACCTTCTCTTGGAATTTCATATATCAACTGTGATATATTTATTGATAAATGTCCCTTGAAATTCCCATATAGTTATATTTGAACATGAACATGAGAATATTCCTCTAAAATGTGATATAATAACATTCCATACTCACTAAACCAGTATCTCCAGACTGAAGTTTGTGGATCATCTCCGAAAAACCAACAACGCCAGAAGAAGCCTTCATGATGGTATATAACAGACATTTCCTCATAGTCCCTTATATCTTCATCATTCTATGAATTAAAACATTCAAAATTTCAAACTGTTATTCCACAAATGAAATGCCATTTTCAGGGAATTCTATAAAATACTGAGATAATATTTATCTACAGGGTAGAAAATACCTTTTATATGTATACTGTCTGACAGTTTGTTTATATATGAGTGCTTCTTAAATTTTAAGGTGAACAACTAGGGATATTGTTTGAACATATGCTCTGATTCATTAGTTCTGTAGAGAACCTAAAAATATTCATTTCTTAGAAGTTGCTAAGTGATACCATTGTTGTTAATTTGTGGACAGCAATTTGAGTGCAAAGGTTTTATATGTCTCAAACAAAAAAGAAGGAGGAAAATGTTGATTTGTTAAAATTTGGTGGTGTGTAGATGGGTGATCATTATACTTTTCCTTCTATTATTGTGTATGGTTTAATGATTTTACATAAAAAATAAATATCAAAAAGTTTAAAATGAAGAATAAATACATAGTATTTGACTTACATTAGGCTCAACATATGCCTTTGACTGATTGGCCGCCTAATTAACAGCAACTTAATTAGTTGATAGCTTAAGTTTTACACACTTCAGAATTTTATCATGATCCAAGGGAAACTTTTTTGATTTTTTGCCACATGACTCATTAGTATTCTAAAAATAATATCAGTTAAACAATTGCCCCTTGAAGTATATATAAATGTTACATATTTCTTCTACAATTCCCCTAGAGTATAACTTACAGAATAATTTTACTGTAGCAAATGGGCTTTTCCTATTCTCACAGTGAGCTGAGGCATAGAAGTGGTGTCATTTATGTTTCATATTTAGATTAGTACAACTGAACAAGATGAAAAAAAAACATTGCTCAGAATTACTTTGGCTATTCTGAGTCATTCATTCTTGCAAATAAATTTTAGAACTGTGAAGAATGTTATTGGTATTTTGATGGGGAATGCAATGGATACATATAAAACTTTTTGTAGTATAGTCATTTTGGTGATATCAATTCTCCCTTATAGAAAATAGGAAGTTTTGCATCTTCTAAGTTCTTCAATTTATTCCTTCAGTGTTTTATAGATTACATTGTAGAGTTATTTCACCTCCTTTGATATATTTATTCCCAATATTTTGAGATTATTTTGAATGGATAATTTTACTAATTTCTTTTTCAGAAGATTTATTATTGGAGTATAGGAAAACTATTTATTTATTAGTGTTGTTCTTTTATTTTGCTACTTCATTGAATTTATTCATCAGCTCTAGAATTCTGGTGGAATAATTTTCACCTTCTATATAAAGGATATGTAATCAGCAAACAGAGACAATTTTATTTCTTCTTTTACTTTTATGGTTTATATCCTTTTATTTCCCTTATTTATCTTATTGCTCTGGCTAGTTTCAAGAACTATGTCAAATAAGAGTGGTTAAAAATGGGCTTTTTTGACTTGTTTCTGATTTTAGAGGAAAATATTTTAGTTTTTTTCATTCAATGTGATGTTGGTCTTGGGTTTGTCATACCTCATTGTTGAGGTCAGATCCTTCAATCTCTATTTTCTCCAGAATTTTTAACATGAATGAGGTGGTGGATTCAAGAATGGGAATGGGGGAAAATCTAAAAAATATGATTTTTGGATCAATTGTGGATCAACTTTCTTCTTTTTCTATCTCATTGTCTCAATTTATTCTTGCTTAACAAGAGTGTATTATATGTACAAAGGCAAAAACTGGTATGCACAACTTCTTGGCCTCATATTTTTCTTTTTTTCCTCCACATAAGTGTAACACTAACTTCTCAAACTATGTAATTCCACATTAGAAAACATATATAAGTGCTCTAAACTCCAATAATTTGATATTTGTGATTCATTATTTTATTTATGCTCTTTTTATCTAGAAAGTGCTATTTTAAATATTATTTTAATAGTTTTAGTTGCAGATGGACACAATACCTTTATTTTATTTATTTTATTTTTATGTGGTGCTGAGGATTGAACCCAGTGCCACTAAACTACAACTCCAGCCCTTAAATTTTATTATTTTTTAAAAGAAATAATAAAACTAATTTTATTATGTAATATAAGATGAAATACACTGAATAGTTATTAACATGGTATATTATTCTGCTATTTTGATTTTTATAATTCTTATAGAATTTATCATACTTACAAAACAATGTTTTGTTTTCATCCACCTTACCTCTTAAAAGAAATAATGATGACAACATAATTTAAAATTCCAGAAATAATACAATTAAAATAGCAAAAAAGGGGGCTGAGTATGTGGCTCAAGTGGTAGTGTGCTCACCTGGCGTGCGCGGGGCACTAGGTTCGATCCTCAAAACCACATTTTAAAAAGTTTAAAAAAAGATATTGTGTCTACCTAAAAATAAAAAAATAAAATAAAAAACCAGCAAAAATACATACAAATTTTAAAAGATCCAAGCAAAATAAACTTTCTTCTAGAATGAATAAAGCATAAAGGTACGAGTACACATATACCTGCAAATAGTATGTACATCTACAATGTGTTCTACAGTTTAAATAAGTGGAGTATATTTATATCTTAATTATTATTCTTAATAGGGAAGCAATACATGGAGAGTATAGAGTAATAATCACCACCATCATCAATAAAGTTCTTTTTAACCATCCTTTTTTAAAACATTTACTGACATATAGAATTTTAATCCCATGATGACAACTAGACATTAGAAATTATTGAATCATGCCAGGAATTGCAGAGAATGTGAAATTCAGAAATGCAAACTCATTTTCTCTCTTACTGACAAGCATATATACATTTGATGATCTAGAGATGTTTGTACTCTAACAACTGTATTATTACAGGGATAACAGAGTATTAAATGATTTGCTAATAATCATTTCCTACTTATAGCACAGTATGTTTAGATCAGATTTTTTCCTTACATGCATCTGACAAATGAAGTAATGAAATGATCCGGAAATAGAAGATAGAACACTGGATTTAGAAATAGGGAATCCTACATTTTGGTTGCTACTCAGTCATTAATTCTATGAGCTTAAGTTATTCACATGCCACTTTTGAACATCAATTTCTTGATCTGTAAAATTCATTCAGTAATACTAAGAACCAACTATGTTCTAGTCAATGTACTTGTCACTATATATGCATAATAGATTTTTATAACCAATACAATCAACTTAATGTGCTAAAAATAGCACTAGATGAGGAATGAGATAACTGATACTTACAAAAGCTCAGACTAGATCATTTCTAAGATGACTTCCAGTTCTAACATTCTAGCATTCCATTTGTTGTCTGAAAATGCTGTTCAAACATGTCAAGTACTAATCCCTGGGGAGGACTGACAGTTCTTATCTGACACTTGTAACCAATCATGGATGAAAATGAAATAGATGGCATCCTAAATTGTATGCTATCAGAGATTACAGAAATGTGTATCACCTTAGACAATTTTTCTCTATCCAAAATTAATGAAGCATTAATCCATCAATAGTAATGCATTCCTTTGATCTCTTTGCATGGCAAATATCTCTAGGAGTGGGAGCACTTTAACCCAACATCAATAGGTTTACCAGTGTACTAGAGCTTTACCCTGCAGAAGGGTTTTAATAAGATCAGTTTTAATGTGAAAATCATGGACTAGTTAGGAACTGTAAATATGGAAGCCACTCTGAAAGGGAGAATAACATTTTTAAAAACTAGAGAATGATAGCATGAGAAGAAACTTTAGTCAAACTTTGGATGATCTGAGAAAAAATACTTCAGTATTCCCAAATCATCAGTCAGAACAATTCAAAGCATTTTAGTTTGACATGCCACTTCTTCTGTAGTATTGACTTTTGTTAAGTGGTATAATAGTTATTATTTATATGAGAATCACTGCATAAAGAAAATGTGTTTTACATGCAAAATTACAAGAACAATAATGATCATTTAATAGTACTGTTTTGTAACATGATTATATTTGAATGACCTGAAATTGAGAAAAGTTTGTAGTTCAATAGTGAACTATTTTATAAAATACACATTCTTACTGGAATAAAGTTGTAACAAAAAAAAATCAAGAAACTTTCATTAGTCCTGAAAGAAAATAATGTTCCAAATTTATTCAATAATCCGATTTAAAATATTTGCTTTTGGTTTCTCCCTCAGTCTCTACTTTTAATCATTCTTTTTTTATATTTTTAATTGTCAATGGATTTTTTTTTTGCTTTATTTATATGTGGTGCTGAAGATCAGACTTAGGGCCTCACACATGCCAGGCAAGCACCCTACCACTGAGCTATAACTCCAGCCCTAATCATCCCTTTTAAAATATTAAAATGACTAAAAAAATCACAACAAAGTAAATATTTTGCAAACTAATAAATCAAATTAACAAGTTTTAGTGTGAGAATAGCATTGTTGGTCTATAAACTTGTAATAATACCCATTCATAAGCCTGCAACAATATCAATTTAGTCTGTTTGCATTATTTTGTTTTATACACCATTGTTTCCTATTAGCATCTTCCCATGTTCCATATCTCCAATCAATAAATTAAATCTGAAAAGCAATTACTAAAATTTATAGGAAAATTTACTAAAATTAAAAGCCCAACTTTCATTCTATTACCACATCAATTTTTATAAAAGATTTCCTTCATAGACGTTTGTTTCTTTTGTTTGAAATCCCTGCTTTCTAAAGTACACATTCGATTTCTGTTTACCTCTTCTTCAGTGTCCAAAGTCCCATTGTTACAATCAAAACTTTCACAGGTCTCTGTTGCAAGTAGCCAATATTCTGTTCCAAATGCTACCAGAAACAGAATTATGCCAATAGCACCAATAATTCCTGCAATGAGAGCAGCAATTCCAATCTTCATGATAGAACTGTTAGTCTTGTGAAAATTGCATGTAAAAGAAGTATTGAAATGACCAGTTGCTAGAGCACAGCTTGTGGGTCTCAACAGAAGACACTATTTTAAGACTAGGATTGACATCTTTTTGTGACTGGTCTAGGTTTCACTAGGCTATATGAGAAGAGCTATTAAAAGCAGATGACCTGGTTCAATTAAGCCATTGGGCTATCTACCACAAACATGTTCCAAAATTATTTCCTACAGAAAAAAAGCACCCTGTTCCACAACCTCCATATATCTCTCCCTCTTTCTCTCTTTCTCTCCCTGTCTCTCCTTCTCCCTCCATTCTCCCTGCCTCATATCTTACATCAATTTCAGGCAAAATTTCTCTAAAAACAGAAGGAGGAAAACTACAATAGCAGCTCTGGCTTCCATGAAAGTGGAGTTAATGATATCTATAATGTAAGTAAGTACACAGACTAAAGATCACAGATTATTCTAATTATTACTTAGTATTTTTCAATAGCTATAACTTAGTAGTAAGTGTGTGCAAAATTTTCCACAAAACCTAACACTAACCCCAGTATTTGCAAACTGGTTTTAAAGACTCAGCAGAGAGGGTGTCATCACACCTTTATTTGTAGGACATAAAACTAATTTTTCACAATTAAAAAAAGAGATTGGATAGTAATACTTCTGTCATATGTATAATGCTTTAACTATAGTTTGGTACAAGAATTAGAATGTACTGACATCAAGGAAGGTAAATATACCAAAAATATCATTAATTTAATCAAATTTTTACTATAATTACAAAAAAGAACTTCATTGAAAGCCACTAAGATTAGAGGTGAGTTGATTAAATGAAAGTGAAAAAGTGAGTGGCACTATATTATTTAGTTCAAATAATAATGTTTATAGTTAGCTTGGGTTTGAGTACAACATTCTGCTTGCTAGCTTATGGCCTTGGACAAGTGTCTAAACTTCAGTTTATAAACTATCAAAATGAAAATAATTATAATATCTAATTTATTAATTTTTAAGATGTAACACCCAGAAAGCATTTAATACCTGACACATCATAAGCAAAAAATAAATCATTTTGAGCATCTTCTTTGGAAATTTTTCCATGTAAGATCTTTAGATATAAGAGGAAGCATGGGATATGTTTGCCCTTATGGAATATACTACTGATTAGGAAAATAACTTGTATGCATATGAGTTAAATAAAAATATATATTTCAGTACTAAAATTATTAGTTGCAAGAAAAGATAGATTATCGCATACTTTCTACTAAGTATTGTGTGATTTTTGGGGGGAGTAAACTTATGTAAGATCCATTCATTCTTGATATTTGAAGTGACTATTTCAGAAAGAGAGATAAAGAAAGAGAATGAAATTGATACATGATTCAAAGAACGTTGCAGTGGCTCAAAGAATAAGAATGATGAAGGATTTGGACAGGTGGCCTTAATAGGGGTGACAAGTTGAGGGATTTTGAGTGGCTATCCAAGAAGATAGACTATGTACAACTGCTCTTGCAGACTTTCTACCCAGCTTGGAATGTAAACCCTCCCTTAAACCTTCAGCTTTGTTGGCTGAATGCATTATTCTTTTTTTCCCTTTAATTTTTATTGTTGGTTGTTCAAAACATTACATAGTTCTTGACATATCATATTTCACACTTTGATTCAAGTGGGTTATGAACTGCCATTTTTACCCCGTATACAGATTGCAGCATCACATAAGTTACA